GTTTTATTTATTTAAAAGTGAATATCGAAAAGTAATTTTTGGTTAAGGGTATCCAGAGAGATAATAAAGAAGAATTAGTTTCGAGGAAGATGAAAAATGTTGTCTGCGATTTGATGAAACCATATTCCTTGTTTAATTAGTATCAGTGCTACATTTATTATTCCTTAACACTATAGAATGAGACAAATACTAACTTATTCATGACTTTTCGTTTCTTTTTTTATTATCAAGAAATACACCCATAAGATTTTAGCCTTTATTGGCCGACATATCAAGTTCTAAGGACAAGTGGCCTAGTAACTTTGTACGTTGTTCTCTTAAATCATAAATAACCCGTGTTGAATTATTCTAAATTGTCATTAACACTAGTGGCCCACTTGATTTGGAACTTGGGAAAATATCACCGTCGGTTTATTGTAAAACCGGTCGGTATATTAGTCCAGTTTTTAGTTTCTATGAAATGAACCAATCAAAATATAGATCGTATGATTAAAGTTAAAAACATACAAATCTTCGAGAATCTAAGGTATGGGAGAAAAAGATGGTAAAGCATAATAATAATTTAGAGTCGAAAGAGAAAGTTCTGTCGGTAGCCTCTCATTGTTTCACAGGTCATCACATAACTTGCTTTCGTTTTTGATTGGTCCACTCAATTCCTTTTATCCATTTAACAACAATAAAGAAATAAACAACTCAATATTCTTCTCACTTTGGGGGGTATGATATGATCTAGTATACAATACGATATACATTTATAGTTGAAAAGTGAAATAGAGTGAGGTGAAGCTGTGATGGACGTTGCGAATATGTACATGTTGTATAAATTTACAATCATATATAAATATATTAAAATGAAATTATTTTACAAAATGTGTGTGGTGAAACCTAGAAGGAGCCAAACCACACGATTTAAATCTCGTGATGGCTAGGTCAATGGTCACATTGATTCTTCCATGTGCAAATTAAGATATTTCACCCTAAAGTTGTACCTACTATGTTGCCATGAACAGATTGGTGATGCCATTTCCGCGTGCCTTAGTGTGAATACGATACGTTCATAGTAAAATATCACAGGATACGTTATCGCGAATAATTCTTTTCTGATCTTTTGCGAATAATATCCTACTTTACAAAATTTGTTTACCGTTTAGTTTGAGAAAGTAGAAAAATATTTGATTTGTTTATTATATAATTTGCTAGAGTTTCTATTTGTATTAATTTCTTTGCATTTGTGTTTTCTATTCTGATATTCATATAATTTCCAGTGAGTTATTGTTGTTGTTAAGGATCTAAATAAGTCATTACTCAAAAAAAAAACTAAATGCTCTCATGTGCATGGAGTTTCATTCGAACTCGATCCATTGGACCATATGAAAATTTATAGTTAATTTCATTAGTTAACGAACAGGGAATGGTTACTGTTTTCAGCTAGAAAACCTGTGTTCTCTTATATTTTCGTAAAAGCATATGTGTTCATAAATCATAATTTTAATTTATTGGAAAACAGAACCGATGTGTAAACATGATAGCTCGGCTGTTCAATGCGCCACTTGGGGAAACTGAGACGGCCATGGGAGTAGGCACTGTTGGGTCTTCGGAAGCCATCATGTTAGCCGGATTGGCCTTCAAAAGGATTTGGCAGAACAAACGCAAAGCTGAGGGTAAACCCTATGACAAACCCAACATTGTCACCGGAGCCAATGTTCAGGTTAGTACTATATCTTTATTTTTCTGAACACATATTAGTACTATATCTTTATGCCACTAATTATACATTATAGTTAGTTTATAAGTAATTAACAAAGTACTTCAAATATCTAGAAAACATTGCAGAATAATCTTTATGTTAGAGATTACCGCAAAATTCATTTTCAAACCAGTTTCAAGTACATTTGTTTATACATAAAGCTTTTAATTTCTATAAAATTTTCTTTTGGTCCTTTTGTATCACACATTTTAGTTTTATTTACAAAATGCATAAACATTTGGCACACTGTTTGAGTTTTTTTTTTTATAATCAAATAAACATATTTGAGATGGTCTTGGTTTGTTTATGATTTTGATTCTGAAACAGAGTTCTGCTTCAATTCAATTTCAGTTTTTTTTTGTTTGTTACAGAAAAGATAAAAAAAAACATCATTCTGATTTAATCATCTAATTGAACTGTTAATAATTTAATTTGAACAGGATGGGTTTGATTGATTTTTATCCACAATATTTCAATTCTTTAGAAAAAAATGAGAAAAATAGTGTTGTAAAGCATCAACTCTCATAGAATCACAAAAACAACTTTCAGGTTTGCTGGGAGAAATTCGCTAGGTACTTCGAGGTGGAGCTAAAAGAAGTGAAACTTACTGAAGGCTACTACGTAATGGACCCAGACAAAGCAGCTGAAATGGTTGACGAGAACACAATCTGCGTTGCTGCCATACTTGGGTCAACACTCAACGGTGAGTTCGAAGACGTCAAACGCCTTAATGACTTGCTGCTCAAGAAAAACGAAGAAACTGGCTGGAACACTCCAATCCACGTTGACGCAGCAAGTGGAGGCTTCATAGCTCCGTTTATTTACCCTGAATTGGAATGGGACTTTAGGCTTCCTTTGGTGAAGAGTATCAATGTGAGTGGTCATAAGTATGGACTAGTCTATGCTGGTATTGGCTGGGTCGTGTGGAGGACACAACAGGATTTGCCTGATGAGCTCATCTTTCATATCAACTATCTTGGTGCTGATCAACCAACTTTCACTCTCAATTTCTCCAAGGGTATGTATCTTTCGTTTTCTTGACCCCTAATCTTTTAAATATATATATTATGTTATTTATTGATGTTTATGAAATGTAGTGAATGTTTTTGTTTTTTTGTAGGATCGAGCCAAATTATTGCTCAATACTATCAGCTCATTCGTCTTGGCTTCGAGGTTAGTTTATTAAAATATATATATATACTCCTCTGTTCCCTAAAGATACATATTTTAGAAAAAAAATTTGTTTCTAAAAGATCAATTTTAACATTTTCAATGCATGTTTCATTAACTAATTGTAACTTCAAAAAACTTAAATGCACTAACTAATTTTTAATTGATTTAAAATTGTGAAAAGAATAAAAATATAAAACTATGCAAATTTATTGTATTTTATTAAAAAGTGTGAAAAAAACTAGAATATAGATCTTTTAGGAATAAAAAGAGTATATCCTAGTGTTAGTGTTATAGACTTATAGCTAGCATGAAATAATATTTTAGATTACGTTACCGTTTTGTGCTTTTTATTTCTTTTTAATATATATTGCATTTTTGCATGGAATAGGGATACAAGAACGTGATGGAGAACTGCAGAGAGAACATGGTGGTGCTGAGAGAAGGGATCGAGAAAACGGAGCGTTTCAACATAGTCTCAAAGGAGGTAGGAGTGCCACTCGTAGCCTTCTCACTCAAGGACCACAGTTTCCACAACGAGTTCGAGATCTCAGAGATGCTACGCCGTTTCGGCTGGATTGTCCCGGCTTACACAATGCCTGCGGATGCGCAACACATCACGGTTCTGCGTGTTGTCATTAGGGAAGATTTCTCGAGAACACTTGCGGAGAGGCTTGTGGCTGATATTGTGAAGGTGCTTCACGAGCTTGACACTTTGCCTTCGAAGATATCTAGGAAGATGGGATCGGAGGATTTTGGAAATGTGAAAGGGAAGAAGGTGGAGAGGGAGATTCTGATGGAAGTTATTGTTGGATGGAGGAAGTTTGTGAAGGACAGGAAGAAGATGAATGGTGTGTGTTAATCTTGAAGTGTTTTCTGTTGTTTGTGTTTGAATGTGTTGTTGTCTAATAAAAATAAGCGGTATGTGTGTGTGAGGACTTGGGGTTTGATTGTGTGTTTGGTATCTATTTGAGACAATAATTAATTCTGGATTCTATTGTATGCTTGAAACTCATCTTGAGCATTTGGTTGTGGATGTTCCCTTTAATAATTAGTACATCTTAAATCATTTTTGTTTTGTATTCTTATTATATTTTCATATTAAGCGTAATATGTATAGCAATAAAAGTTGCACAAGTAATTAAGTAAAATAAAATTTACACATAATATTAAAATAATTTTTAAGACTTTTATAAAAACATATTTTTTCCCATAATTTGGAGATCTATACTTATGTAAAAAGTTCAATTTTTTTTTAGAAATTAAGGCCATGTTTTGCTTTTGGCAGTTTTACTAAGTTGGGTATGTAATGTAACCAAAATTTTATTTTAAGTGCAAGAAAATGTAAGAAACAAAAATAAAAAGAGTAACTAAAACTATATCATTCTCCCTCCGTTTCGCTTTAGTTGTCATTCTAGGTTTTTGTACATAGATTAAAAAAATAAAATATTATATAAAACTAATAAATTTTGCCTATACATCTAACCATTTTTTAACCAATAAAAAATAGAATATTATATAAAACTAATAAATTTTGCCACTCGCGATAACCGTCACCAGTCGTACATCGCCCGTAATGCACCCATTTGGCTACATCACCTACTTGCTTTGGAGGCTCAGCTATAAGATTTTGGGTGAAATTTCTTTTTCGTTATCCGTTGATGTCTAATGATATCTTCTATCTTCTCTGTTTTTCCCTTTTGTATTTTTTGGAACTTTCTTTGTACCATTGCACCAGTGTTATAAAAAAAAAAATAATAATAAATTTTGCCTCAAACCTCTAAAATATCACTTCATTTGTGACAAAAAAAAAGTCTAGAATGATATATATATTCTGAAAGGAATATTGTTTTTTCGGCTAAATTGTATCATGTTGTGTTATTAGGAGTTTGTACTTTGTAGTTTAAATTTTAAATACATTGAAAGAAATAACTATTACGTAAATTTATATTGGGCCAGACCAAAACAAATGGTAAATCGGGCCATTGGTTTTAGAACACGTCTACGGCCTAGCTTTGTGTATCAAAACCAGGCATGATTAGATCTAGACCGTCCAAAATAGGGATTTCAAAAAAAACCATTAAACCTCTCTGCTTCGCTTAATTTGTGTGTTGCCTCTTGAAAAACCCATCATAAACCCCATCTTTACCTTGTGCTGCTCTTCCTCGTTATCAAACAGGTACTTACGATTCCAAACTCGCTACATATTTGAGTCTGCTTCTTGAAGACTAATCTATAATCTTTTCTTACTTAATTATTCCATTGCGATTTATAGTTTGTGTTCGGATAATATTGTAATTCAGAACTTCGGATAATATTTCATTTAGATATATATTCAATTTGCACTTTTTGGGTGTAAGAAGTAATAAAGTATTGCTTTTTAGGGGTTAATTGAGTTGCTTACTGCTCAATATGTTTATAACTTTGAAGATTCTGCTTAAACTCGATGGAAGGTTTAAGCTTTGCTTTTAATAATAGCTTAGCTTTTGATTTGGTCTTCCTTTTTTGCTCACAGTCTATTTCAAAACGATTCATTGATAATGACGGAGATAGTAACGCCGGGAGAAGTACTCGGTAACGTGTCCGAGTTTAAAGCCGGGAAAGGAGCTTACGTTAACGACAACACCATCTACGCTTCCCTCACAGGATCTCGCAAGATTGTTTCTCCTCTTCCCGAATCTCTTGACCAGGTCTCTCTACTTTTCACTGAGTAATTCTATATAAGAAGTGAACTATAAAATGCTCAATTTTTGTAGCTTATTATAATATATGCAGAGAGCTATTGTGGAAGTTACGGGACACAAGGCACATGGACTTATTCCCCAGCCTGGTTCTATTGTCTTGGTTAGGGTTACTAAAGTTATGGCTCGTATGGCTTCTGTTGATATCTTGTGTGTTGGTCCTAAGGCCGTTCGTGAAAAATTTGCTGGCATTATCAGGTCATTTCTTTCTTCCTGCTCCCTCCCTTTGGTGTTTGTGGGAGCCTCTTATACTTTTACTTGTGTGCGTCTGTCTAACTTGTGCGTGTGTGTACACAGGCAACAAGATGTTAGAGAAACAGAGATTGACAAAGTTGATATGCATCAGTCTTTCCGTCCTGGTGACATTGTTAGAGCTATGGTTGTATCCTTTATTGAGCAGCAGCTTTGATTTTCTTATAGTTTCCATGGATTATGCCATTTATTTTTCTGTTTTCACTCGCACAAATCTTAGCATATGAAGTTGCCTTAACATGGACTCTTAAAAAAGCTGTCTCTTGGTGATTCACGGGCTTACTATCTGTCAACTGCTAAGAATGAGCTTGGTGTGGTCTCAGCTGAGAGTGCTGCAGGTAAAACTATATAACTGATCTCTCTGTCACATTTTCGGTCTCTTTGTTATCCATCAAAGTGTACAGACGTAGGTTATTATGTAAACTGAATATGTCAATATGTATGTGCTTCTTTAGCAGTAATATGATGAGGTAAAATGTTTTGAGTGGTGGTGAAAGTTGTTGTGTGGTGCTTGTGCAGGTGAAACAATGGTTCCGATTAGTTGGACAGAGATGCAATGTCCTTTGTCTGGCCAAACCGAGCAGAGGAAAGTTGCCAAGGTGGGTTAATTGAATGACAAGAAGAATCATCTCCCTTCCATCATAGATTGGTGTGCGAGTCTCTACAACAAGAGAAAAGATATGTTAGATTATTACAGTTTTTAGCTCTTTTTCTTTGACATGCGTTAACTTAAGACTATATCGTCTAGTTATCAATTGAAGACATTTTAGTGAAAGGATTAAGAGAGAATGGATTTGAATGTGAGCCCTTTTGTTTCCTTTACACTGCATTGATAATGGCGAAGAAGATTATAAACATCGGTGGAGCTAAATTAGCCTAGATTTCAGAATCTTCAAAATTTAACCAGTGTCTGTCACAAGTCCGAAGAGGTGACATTCTTAAATTGGAAATGTTAACTTTGGAAAATGTTTCACAAATGGTAATTGATATAGAAAGTTCTTTAAGTGGTGCCAAGCGACAATCCACGTTTACCTATATACATTTTGACATTGCTTCATAAACGAATACTCGAAGAAGAATATGGTATTGTTTGCTTAATTTCTCCCAGTTCATTCACTCTGCAAGTCAGCGTTTTTTTTCTTTCTTTTGTCCCTGTTCACCCACTCTGCAAGTTAGTGTTTAGATTTGGGATAAGTAGCTTCCTCCGTAGTTGCCAAAAAATCAAAATTTCAAACAAAGTATAATACCCATTAAATAAGTCTCAGAAAAATTATAAAGCTAGAACAAAAACTGTTGAGCATAACATCAATCCGCTCGCACACAAAACATAATTTCGACAAAATTAAACAAAAGTAAAGAGAAAACAGTTCCGGGAACAAAACCAAATCCATGAGTGTCTCTGGTAATGCAAAACTACTCATCCATGTCATCTTCATCATCACCTTCTTCCTCCTCCTCACTAAGCTCAAGCTCAGCAAGCAACTCCTCAATCGGCACAGTCGGTGCACCTTCTCCATCAGTCATCGAAGCAGTCTCAGACTCTTGGTAATCCTTGTTCTTGTACAATGATATGTTAAACCTCAGCTCAGGATTCTCTTCAAGATCCCTCAAAAACTCTTCATACTCATTCTCCATCCTCTCTGGATCAACTCTTCCTCCTCTCGAATCATCCATCTCCATCGGAAGCTTCTTGGTAGTAAACGCACGTGGCTTCCCCTTCTTCCTCTCCCTCTGCTCGTCATAGCATTTCTTGATAAGAATCGCTTCAGGAAGCCCATTCTTCACACTCAAACGATACTTCTCCATCTCATCATCGTTCACGTTTGCTCCATAGATGTCATACCCTAAAGCTTGATCTCCTGGTTTCAAGATATGCCCTAGATGAGTCTGGACATAAAACATCTTCCCAATGTCTGACTCACGTGCAATCTGGACATAGGACAAAGCATACTTTTGCCCACCAACAGTCGCTTCACCAACAGGTGGCTCCACGTCAAACACAAAGTACTTCACAAGGTGCCTGCTAGTTAACGCAGACCGAAACCCAGATCGAAAGTACTGCCTCGCATCCAGGAACGCACACCTCAAGGTCCTCGGATCAAGGAGAGTGATGTTATCAGAAACTTTAGTGCATACCACAAGCGGACCAAGACTCCCCAACCCGCTAGAAACTTTGGAAGGCAAGCAGATAAGATCCTCACGGCAGATAGGACAAATCTTAACAGAGTAAGTATACTTATAATTATACAAACTACTCTTAACATCATGAGACACCAACTGCTGATCCTGACGATACTCAATAGGAACAACTTTCCTCAAAAACTCAATAAAGCTATTAGCATGACTCTTATTCCCAAAGAAGAAATCAATCCCCTGATCAACCTGCTGTATCCTAATAGCTCTTGAAGCAGCATCATGCCTCAAAATCAACTGCTCGAGATAAAAAAACGTCCTCCTATGAGAAACATGCTGCCTAAGCTGAACAGAAGCAACCCACTGATCAGGGTTAGCCTGAAACCTCGAGCAAGACTCACAGAGATTATCCCTAACCGTATACTCAACAGGATAAGACTGCTCGAGAAGAGCACCGTTGAGAACCTCGGCTTGGACTGTTAGCTTGACTTTGATCCTCTTGGAGTGAGGCTCGGTCCAGACGAACTCGGCGTTCTTGAGCTTGACTTTGTTGAGATTCTTGAGCCTCTTGATGCAGAAGGTTAGAAGCTCCTTGGATTCCCATTGGGCTTTGATCCATGTCTTGGGTGGTTGTAGGTAGCAGGTGCACTCTGGGCAGTAGAAGATTTGGATGCTCTTCTGGAGGCCTTCTGTGATGTCGACTTCGGAGCGGAGGCAGTTGACGCACATGTTGGCTGCGTTTGGTGGCATGGGGACACCGCACTTGCAACATAGGACGCTTCCTATGGTTTGTTGGACTTTGAACATCCCTGTGTCTTGTTCCATTGCAGACATCTGTAACAAAACACATCAAGATAACGAAAATAACAATTTAATAACGCAAGAAACGTATAACATCAGTGGATGACGAAATCAATCAAAAGCGATGACACGGCACCGTGTTTAGATATGTAGTGCCATCGAAATTAGGGTTTTCGATTGATTCGAGGCGAGGATAAAGATAACGAACTAGTTGCAATGAAATACTGATAATTTTAGGTTACGAGGAGAACGAAATGGAAGAAAAGCTTAGCTTACCTGAGCTATTTTGAGAGACGTAGAGAGGGCGGCGCGATGGAGAAGGAGGAAGAAATGTAAAGAAACAAAAGCGGTGAAAGGCGTTTTATGAGCCTCTTTTTTTTTTTTTTTCTTTCTTAAAGATTGTTGTTAGCCGCCTGTTTTTAGGGTTAGGTATATAGGCAGGGGGAACAAAATATCTTGAACCGATAACCGACGGAACCGATCAGAAATAACCAGAGTCGGTTCGGTTAGATTATCGCCCGAAAAACACTTGCTCTAATCGAGGACCCGATAATCGTTTTTTTTTTTTTAACAAACTACTAATACTCGTTAATTAATAAAATATCAAGTATTCAACATTATTGATTTATAGAATTGTTACTGTTGTAGCCTAATGCTGATACAATCATTAATAAACCTGAAAAATGTAAAATAAACACTAAAATTTCATTAAAAACCATGAAATTAAATGAAGAAAGTCTGGGGAAATAAGACAACAGAATTACTTAAGAGATTAATCGCATCATCTTCAGAACAATGTTTAATTTTATATCACCATCAAATTGATTCAAGTATTAATTCAAAAACAAAAACAAAACACGACTCTTTTGGAGAATCTCTCCAGACCAAACAGACCAAAACTCATAAAATCAAGCTTTTTTGTTCCAAGTATATTTCCAGAAATAATAAACATTTTGCTATTCTTCTGAGTGATAAATGATGAAATAGACAAATCCAAATAGCATTCCTTTAAAAAGCTCTTATAATCTACATGAAGTCGAAATCGTCCATGGCATCATAAGGACCAGCCACTAGATCGTCATTCGCCTTATCTACAATCAGTTGCTTCTTCTTCCCACCTGATTATCACAAAAATGGATTCACACTTAACTTCAGAATAACGAATCTACAAATAATAAACAACGCTCACAGACATAACCAAAATTTAAGAAGGTGGGAGTGTTAATGCACATACCAGTCTTTTTTCTGCCAGCAGCAGCTTCTTTCTCCGCCTTAAGTTTTTCATTTGCTATTGCTGTAATGGACGAAGCAACATCTTTAACATCTGCTGCCTTCATGTTGGTTAAGGAATGTCTCATGACTGCTTTGAGTAGCGCAATATAATGATAACTTTTCTGCAAACAAAAACCAAAATATAAGTTCAACATGCCATGAGATGAGAGTTTACAATAATAGCAAAGGAGAAGAAAGGCTATGCAACATACCTCGTATGGTTTAAGCTTCTGAGAAATCATTTCAGCATATTCCAAAAAATCAGCTTCAGACTTGGGGATGAACACATCAACGTTTTTCTCGTCAACCTTAGTTCCAAAGAGTTCAGCAGTTGCTCGGTAGTCAGCTTCTTCAACAAGCCTGTGAGAGAAAAGAACATAATGTATAAGAACACACAGCCTTTTGGTCGGTTAATAAAATCTCTGTCTCGACAAAGTAGAAGAATTTATATACCTCTGCATGCGAAGTTTCTCAGAGATGGGATCAAGAGGTTCTTCTTTTGGAGCTTCTTTTGGAACATCGGCTGCTTTTCCCTTCTTTTCAGCAGCTTTGGCTGCTGCTGCTTTCTTGGGAGGAGCCTTCTCTGTAGGAGGCTTTACAGGAGGAGGCTGCAACAAAAATAACAAATTCAGGTTTCAATGAACAAAGATCTAACCAAAGATGGGATAAATGAAGGAAAATAGATATTCATAAGGCTACTATACCGGAGCAGGTTCGTCATCATCATCCTCCCAAGAGTCCTTAATATCATTCTCATCTACATCCTCATCATCCCAGTTACTTTTAAGCACAACTTTAGCTGGAAGTGGTGCAAGTTGCTCATCCTCTGAAACCATAAAATAAAAACTATAAGCAATCAAACTCCAACAACAAGATTTACCACTTTTAAGTAAATCACTTTTTGTAATGTGATTCGAGATAATTATAATCAGAAACACATATAAACGAAGATACATTAAAGCATAATCTTACCCCAATCATCCATAATTGCTGCTAGTTATCGAGTAAAAAATTCAAGGCTGATATCTGAATCCAACTGTAAAACCTGTAAGACATATACATAAGCATAAGAACCAGCCAATAGTGACAGATCAATTCATAATTTAACACAAAAAATCATCAATCTGTAACTAAAGCAAAAAGTTATCTCATAACAAAACATACTAGTTCGGCATATAAGGAGAAAAACAACACAAAACTGGGCATACTAATCTACAATCTGATGGGTTTCTGTAGCACCAAACTGATGATGAACTAAGATATTCTATAAATCTAACCTAATCGAGAAATCAAAAATAAGCATGGGAAATTTAAGGAAAACACAGAAGAGAGATTAACCGCTTTGAAAGAAGAGATTTTTCTAAGATCTAGATGCGAAAGCAAGAACCTTTGAATTAAGATAACATACCGAGACAAGAAGAGATACTGTCGAGAGGAAGATGAGGAAGCGTGTTCTTAGGATGAGATTGGTCTCCGATGTAAAGAGGCGATAGGTTTATAAACGGCTGAGGGCTGCGTGGTTTCGGTGGATTTAGGGTTTTTTTTTTTCTTCTAATTCCTATCCTCTTTTGATTTATGTTTTTTTTCTCTACAGTCTTTCCTTTTTAAGCAAAGAAAAAAAGTTAAGGCCTATCCGAAATCTCACAATTTTTTTTTGTGTTTTCGGTTAAACTCATATGGTCGAACCGGTCTGTCCCGAATATAATCTTCCTTTTTTCAAAATAGGTTTTATTTTATTTTTTTCTATTTTTCTCCTTTTAGTTTGATTATTTTGGAGTGGGAACAAAGGGAGAGAATAAGAATTTTTATATTTTGATACAATACACTTGATATTAAAATGTATCAATGAAATCATGGACTGTAGCAAAGAGAAAGTAACCTTAAAATCGTTTAAAATTAACTTATTTTATTTTTACTTCTCATGATTAAATCAATATATTGGATTTTATACCATAGAACATATGTAAATCTATACTATTAAAAGGGACTAATCGAGGCTCATGGGAGCGTCCACATCGGCGTTCAAATCCTCTTCGAAAACATGCCACGTGGCATAAATTAAAATTTTACATTTTCGAAATATTGCTATAATTTATAGTTTACATTTTAATATTATTAATAAATACAATTTCGAAAATAATAAATAAAATGTAAACATACAACATAAAAAATGGAAATACTGATTACCATTTTAAATTAAAAAATTAAAATTTTACA